CCGGATATGGATAAACATCGAGCCTCCAGGGGGCAAATTCATCCACATCCAGTGCGCCGCGGGTTTCTTGGTACTCCAGATTTCGCAATAAAAGGGAGGGGGTCTGGACCCTCCAAGACAAGCCATTTCAGACCTCCCCCGTGGGAGAGCCCTCCAAAACATCGTCCCCAGACCCCCCAGGCCCTCCAAGATGGCCTGGAAGAGACCCCCCCCAAATGAGACCCCCCTCCCTTCATCACGAAATCTGGAGTAAGGGAGCCCGAAACTCCATACCGCAGTGGATATATGGACAGCCCGCATGGGGGGCGGCCGTGGGCGCCTCGTGAGCTCCCCTGCTGGCTGGGCCGTGCCGTGGCGTCGCATGACGAGGGCGCCCGCGGGCGCCGCGCGTTGCTCACCGCATGGCGCTTGCACCACACGGACTCCACCCGTGTAGCTCACACCACATATTACACCCTGCGAGATGCTTAAGAAATCATGGGTTAAGAAATTCATAGTCTCAGAAATTAAAGAAAACCCAGAACTTCTGTCAAAATCTTGGGATTTACATTGAAAAGTTAAGAATAATCGAGATTCTGGACGAAAACTTAGGTTTTCTTAAGCATCGCCTGAGGTGTACAACACGCATGGCTCGCCCCACGTGGCCAACTCAGCAAAACCTGCACTGATGGGGGCACCCGTGGACGCCTCGTGCTGCTTACCGCATAGCTTGCACCGCACGGATCCCGCCCGTGCAGCTCACACCTCAGCGGGCCCTGGAAACGACAGGGCCGCTTTTGTACCCGTTCCGTTTTGCCGTTTTTGTTGCCGGCTCCGACGCCGTAATTTTACCGGTTCCGTCGCCGTGTTTTGACCGGTTCCGGCTCCGGTTCCAATCCTGGAGCCGTTTTTTTGCCGTGTCCGGTCGCCGTTTTTGTTGCCGTTTCCATTTTCAAGGGACATGTTTTGGGAACGGTGAAAAAACGGCCCTGCCGTTTCCGTGGCCCACGAAGGCTCACACCACAGATGACAACGCACATGGCTCGCCCCACATGGCCAACTCAGCAAAGCCTGCACCACACTGCTTGCACTATTAGACAGCTTGCTCCACATAATGTGTGCCACAAGTGTTGTTTACACCGCGCACCTTGCAAGACATGCGCTGCACCGCAAAGCTGGCTTACGGCACACACAGAATGCGCCGCATGGCTTCCACCACATAGCTGGCACCACGTTATCTTGTACCACACTGGCAGTGAATTGCCCTACTGTTTGGGGTCCCCGCTAGCAAACGTATTTTCCACTGGCGTGATACGTCTGAACACATCGCAAGGCTGCAGGTGACGGATGATCTGCTCGTTGCGCCGCGCCTCAGAGGTCCTCCTTTACCAGCGGGGCTGTCACCACGGCCTCGCCGTCAGACCGAGCGGCAGGGGCAACGTGCACGAAACCCTCTGGCTCCGTGAATGGCGTTGCCTCCGTCTGCATCATGACCACGCTGTCGAGGCCCGCGTCCAGCTCTTCCTGCTGACTTGGCAGTGCGGCTGTCAGTGTCTCCGGCGCAAGCATGTGCTTCCAGTTCCCGTAGTTGAACGCAGCGCAGGGCAGCGCCAGGAACATCAGAACGGCGAAGGCTCGCGCCATAGTGCGAGAGGAGGTGCTAGATCGTTGTGCGTTGTTTCTTTGGAAGCGGGTCGCGCTGAGCCCAAACTGCTGCGGAGGAGAGAGGCAGGCTGGTGAAGGAGGCTGCGGATGAGGCGACGGAGGGGGAGGAGCTGGGAGGTGAGGAAGCAGATAGGGATGAGGGGGACGAGGAGAGAGGGACGAGGCGAGAGACAGGAGGCGGAGCAGCAGCAACAGGAGCAGATGCGGGGGAGACGAGGCAGAGGCATGCGATGCGAATGCCAACCGCGCACTCGTGGTGCGCTCCCTCCAGCCGTGCCCACGGTCGTGCATCCGCCCCGGCGCTTGCACTATGTCGGGCGTGTCCCCCTACAGGGGGATTTTCGATGGAAAAAAAAAGAGATACCCCAAAAATGCTCCCAAAAGGTCAACCAGCATTGAAAAAATATTCCCCAGACTATTTTGGATTATTGTTGGACGATGTTTGAATATCTTGTATTTTTTCCTCGAAAGCCCCCTGTAGGGGGACCGGCCCGACTTAACGCTTGCAGCTGTACCGTGACTTCGAGGAGAATCCAGCCGTGGCGACGAGTGAAGGGTAGCGGCATCTGTGCCGACTCAGATCTGACGGCGCGAACAAACAGACAAACATCGTAGACAAAACTCGACGCCCAACCCCCGACCTAAAACATTCGTGCCGGATCGATCCTCCCCCGGGACCTAAAAACTCGTGCCCAACCCCCGACCTAAAAGCTCGTGCCAAAACCCCCTCGTTCTGCTGCAGCTTTCGTGCCGGATCGATCCTGAAGGCCCCGCGACCCAAAACAAGGCAACAAATCACCCGCCGTGAAAAGACTCCGACGTCAAGACCTCCGCGTTGACCTCGACGGCTCCGAAAGGCGTGTGCTGCAAAGGGTGTGATTTGCAACCGGCATCCTGGGGGCCACCCTGGGGGGCGGGCGGGGAACTCGAGAGAGTTCTCCGCCGCGCCCCCGGAGGCCCGACGGTGACCTGTCGTGGCCCCCAGGCCCCAACGGCGCCGATCGTAAACCACACACCAGCGGAACCACGCCCCCTGCAGTCGCCGACGGCTTCCTCCGCCCCTCCGCCTCGCCGATGCAGCCGTGGGGCCTGCGGGGCACGACACCGTCCTCGTCGGGCCTCCCCGGGGCGCGGCGGAGAGCTCTATCGAGATCCCCGCCCGCCCTCCAGGGTGCCGACCGCACACCACACCATGGCGCACCCAGAGATCCGACGTCGTGATTTTTTCAATACGGGGACCCCGGAAGACTCGACCCACTCCCCAGGACCAGTCTTTCATCCTGAGTCGCTTTTTGACGGTCCCGAGGCCCAGCGAGGGCCCCTGGGAGCCGAAATCTGAGAGAAACCTCCGTCTTGATCTTCTCAATACGTTGGATCTCCGGGTCGCCACGCCTCTGCGGTCGCCGACGCCATCCTCCGACCCTCCCCCTCGCCGATGCAGCCGTCCGCTGGCGCCCCCGCGAGGAGGGCGCGCGGGAGGGGCTGGGCGGTGCCGCCGCGCGCGGCCCCGCCTCTGTGGTCCCCGGTGCTGGCCAGCGTCCTGGCGCCGCCCAGGGGGAGGGGGCGCCCCGCACGCCGCCGCGCCCCGCCCCCGCATCCCGCATCCCGCCCAGGGAGGAGCGAGGCAGGAGCGAGGGAGGAGCGAGGAGCGGGCGAGGGGCGAGGGAGGAGCGAGGAGGGGCGGGGGAGAGGAGCACAGAGGGGCGCAAGGGAAGGCGAGGGAGGAGCGGAGCGAGGAGCGTGGAGGAGCGAGGGAGGAGCGGAGGGGGAGGCGAGGAGGCGGAGCGAGGGAGGAGCGAGGAGGAGCGAGGAGGAGCGAGGAGGGGGAGAGGAGGAGGCGCGAGGAGGAGCGGGACGGATCGAGGTCTTCGAGCATGGTCGGACTTTCCCGCTGGAGCCCCCGGAGGCCGCCCGAGGACCCCAGAGACCTCCCAGGGAGTCCCCGAGGCCTCCAGGGAACCTCCAGAGCCCTCCAGAGGATCCTGCTTTTCCTCCTTATCCTCCTCCTCCTCCACCTCCATTTCGGTGGGGGGGGGGGCGAGGGAGGGGGGGGAGACGGAGGAGGAGGAGGAGGAGGGAGACATTGTCGCTCCCTCTCCTCCCTGCTCCCCCTCCTCCCGCTTTCCAAGGAGGGAGGACAACAAAAGATCAGATTCGTAGCTCTATTGTAAGATCCAAGGGCATCCTCCTCCCTCCTCCTTTCCCTTCTCCCTCCTTGAGGGGGGGGAGGGGGAGAGGAGGACGGAGGCTCGACAAAGAAGGGAGTGGAGGAAAGGCGAGCAGGATCGAGTTTCGAGTGTAGGGCCTGCCCCCCCCCCCCCTCCTCCCTCCCCTCCCTCCTTGAGAGGCCAGAGGAGAGGAGCGAGAGAGAGGGAGAGATCTTTCGCCGCGCACGCGCCAGAGCGCCTGCAGAAAAATCTTCAAAACGCGCGCCCTCCTTAATGCACCGAGACCCCCAAGACCCCCCAAAAGAGCCCCAAGAGGGCTCCAAGAGGCGATTTTGCGGGCTCTGTCCTCGCCATCCTTGTCCACCTCCTCCTCGCCCTCGTCCTTGTCCTCATCGTCTTCCATTTCCTTGTGCTCCTCTTCCTCGTGGTCGTGGTCGTGGTCGTGGTCGTGGTCGTTTCCTCCTCCTCCTCATCCTACTTCCCTCGCCCTCACGTGGGCCATGGGGATCGCCCGAAGAGGCCCTCCAAGGGCACCTCCCTTGCTCCCAGAGATCTCTCTGCTCATCCAGACTGCCCGCCTTGTTTCACTATATATATATATATATATAAACATACATGCCTCTTCGCGGAGCCTGAGATGCACTTTGGATCCCTGTGTCGCAGTCGGACCTGGGCCAGACGAGCGTCCCTCAAGAGCATGAGACCCTCGGCCGGCCAAACAAACAAGGGTACTCGTCCCCAGGATGCACGAGAACATCCAACGAGCACGCAGAGCACTGGTGTACCCTCCGCCGAGCCGACGTCGATCTTCTACCTCGGTCCGACTGCACTCTTGAGCGTAAAGGCTCACGGGGGAGGAGGGAGGGCGACGACGACGACGACGAACAGGGCGGGAGAGCCTGGAATCGAATCGAAGAGTCGGATCGGCGATCGGAGTGAGTCGGATCGGCGGAGATCGGTAGGCTAGTGAGGCCTCCATTGAGACATCGAGATCCACACCGGAATCCGAAATCGAACCGACTCGGAGTCGGAATCCGTCGAAACTGCACCGAACCGAGTCGGAGGAGTCGAAATGAGCCCTGGATCGGCGAGGGGGACGAGGAGCACGATCTTCTTCTGCGCACGCTGCCAGACGCCGCGGGCGCGCGCACCTGGCCATCGCTCGGTCGTCCATTCCCTGTGCTTTTTGTTCGGTTGCGCGCGCGGCTTCTTCGCCAAGTGATCGAGGATGCTCCTCGACGGTCCTCGCCGAAGGAGCAATGCACACGTCCGAGCGATGCCAAGGCACTGTCCAGGGGGGGCCGAAGCCGCGGAAGCCGACGGCGACCCCGCGGGCCGCCGGGCTGCCGGGCGGCGGCGGCGGGCGCGCTCGTTCGGAGCAGGGCGAGCCGAGACGAGCAGAAAAGCAAACGAATGCTTTTAGAATTGAATGAAAAAACAATCAAGTCGCAGAATTTGAAACATTGGTTTTTGAATTCAAAAAACAAGTTTAATTCACCAAAAAATGCCATCTCAGAATTCGAAAGATTGGTCTGTGAATCCAAATAACTGCTTTTTTGTATTCCCCAAACAAGCTCTTCGGCGCTGAAATCCCCTCCCTGGCGGGCGGAGCGCGCCAGGGGCGGCGCCGGAGTCGCCGCAAGGGGAGGCCCAGCGCCGATCCAAGAAGTCCCCGCGGAGCTCCCAAAGTGCACGTGTTTCTGCCGCCTTCTTCTTTTAGAGGCTTCTGTTGCTGGGGTCGGAGAATCGCGCCGCATCGCCGATGCATCGGCGACGCTGGCGAGGTATCGGAGACGTCGGCGTGGAGAAAATCGGGCTCCACGTCGAGCCGCATCGGCGATGCATCGGCGATGCGGGGCGATCCGCCGACCCCATCTACTCCGACCCCATCTACAAGACCACCCCAACCCAACCCGAAGGCCCGAATTAGACCCGAATTTCGGGTTGGGGGGGTTGGAGCTTCATATGTGTTTTTTCAGTGTCCCCCGCCCCCCCCCCAACACTGGAAATGGAAGGCACATCGGGGCCTTCGGGTTGGGTTGGGGTGGTTTGGGGGGTGGTGATCTGCTCCCACCCTTAGGAGGCAACTACTGGGAGGTCTTCGTCGGAAGGATGAAGGAGAATTG